CAGCCTGAGCAAGAGCGAGACCCCGTCTCTACTATAAATAGAAAGAAATTAATTGGCCAACTAATATATATATAAAATTAGCCGGGCATGGTGGCGCATGCCTGTAGTCCCAGCTACTCGGGAGGCTGAGGCAGCAGGATTGCTTGAGCCCAGGAGTTTGAGGTTGCTGTGAGCTAGGCTGACGCCATGGCACTCACTCTAGCCTGGGCAACAAGCGAGACTCTGTCTCAAAAAAAAAAAAAAAAAAAAATGCTAAAAGTCATTGAGAGTCTCAAATTGGAGTCGAGAATTGTTAATCCAGCAAAATTGCATGGATATACCATCCAAAGCTGAGTAAACAACTCCAAAAATCTTTAAATAATAATAATGAGGTCCTAGTTGGAGTTTCCTTCTTCTTAGCTTTCAGCATATAAGAGGAAAACTTGAAACTGTCAAACTCCAAAGAACCTCTGAGAGGAGAGTTGACATGTATAGGTTTGTTCTTGGCATTGGTGAAATTCTAGTAGCTTAATCTCCTCTAGCATTTGTGGAATTGTAAATTCTATGATATGCTTACTGCTTTTGGAAAAACTGTGAAATAAGGGGCTCATAAGACCTCAATAACAAGAGTACTTAAAAGGTCTAAGAGTGGAAAAGCAGCTAAGTCATTTGACTAACACTACTTTTCCATAGTTATTATAAACCCCTTTCCTTGCGAGTATGTTCTCTGCTCATCGTGACAGTTCTGCTTTTTCTTCTCTTCCTCAGATCTTCCCAGCCATCAAACTCACAGTTTGGTAAAAACAAACAAACAAAAAATGACTTGCTTGCTGTTGTTTCTAAGGACTCTGTTTTTCTTAAGAGCTAGAAGTCTGGCGTGAAAAATTAAGCTTTTATCTCATCCCTACCTATCATTATATTTGATGGATCTTCAGAAACTGAAGACTTTTATCCAAGGAACAATTTGAGGGTGAAGAAGGTGAGTTACTGCAATATTGACTTGTTGGAAACACATCTGCTGAGCACTTGTTCCCAGAGTTTTGTCACAGGAAATCTGGTTGTACAGGCAGCTGGTCAATCAAGACCTTTCTGACAGAATTTTTAAATTCTAATTGTCTGTTTTCTTTGCACTTTTGGGGGATTATTGAACAGATGTGCGTATAAAACTTTTTGGTTTTTACTTATTTATTTGCCCCTCCCCTCCTTCTTCTGCTAATTCTTTATTTCTTATTACACTGTCCGGAAAGCTTCTGATGGTGAGTTCAGTGTTTTTCCTATTTTGCTGACCAGCACCATTGAACTTTCATAGATGTGATTTTGTGACAATAGTAATCTAGCCTCTTGCCCTTTCACTGCCCTCAGCTGACCTGTTTCTGCATTCCAATTATTACTGCTTTGAAAAATATGAGTGGAGAGCTAGGACGACTCTGAGGATTTTGAAGACAAACATGGCAGTACTAAGGTGCTCTCTCTGCCAATCCCCAGATCAAGGGACATTTCCCTGCTCCACTGACCACACTGCTGTGTCCTAGATCAGGTGGTTTCAGGGATGGAATGGGGTTGAGGGCACATCAAAAGAGAAAGCAGGAGTTTATAGAAATCAGTCAAAGCATGTTGCTTTTAGGCAACTAAATAACTCTAATTAGATTTTATAATTTTGCACTTAGAAGTGAGTTACTGAAATAATATACTAAAACAAAAAAAGTCTCACTGACAGTTTAACCAAGTGGGTTTCTGATTCTCCTTGGGAGAACAATGTGGACATATTACTGCTGGTTTCATTCTCCTTCACCTGCATCAAGATGTGTGGCTACCCACATGCTTTTAGTGCAAAGTGGAGGAGTGCTCAGTTACAAGCTTGTTCTTCTTCTATTTATTTATTTTTTTGAGACAGAATCTCACTCTGTTGCCCAGCCTAGAGTGCTGTGGCATCAGCTTAGCTCACAGCAACTTCAAACTCCTGGGCTCAAGCAATCCTTCTGCCTCAGCCTCTGAGTAGCTGGGACTACAGTAGGCATGCACCACCATGCACGGCTAATTTTTTCTATATATTTTTAGTTGTCCAGCTAATTTCTTTCTATTTTAGTAGAGATGAGGGTCTCACTCTTGCTCAGGCTGGTCTCAAACTCCTGAGCTCAAAAGATCTGCCTGCCTTGGCCTCCCAGAGTGCTAGGATTACAGGTGTGAGCTGCCACGCCCGGTCAGTTCTTCTTTTAAATAGGTAACAATTGTTCATTTCCCAAGAACTTTGTTGATTCTCATGTGAATGTGGAAAAGGTTGATGGCAACTGAGCGTATCTAAAAAAAAATTTCCAACCAACAGATTTTGTAATTATTTTAACTATAGGCCCAAGCAGGGTGAGATGAAATGTTCTACTCCCTCTTTTGAATAAATGTAGGTGTGTTGTCAGGAAGACTGCCAGAGGGAACCTCCCAAGACAAAAAAATATGTCGATTAAGATATTGTAGTGGGTTGGATGGTAGGCTTGCAAAAGATAAGTCCAGTTCCTGGAATTAGTGAATGTGACCTTATTTGGAATACAGTTGTTTGTAGATGAAATTAAGTTAAGGATCTTGATAAGACTGCATTCTAGATTATCGAGGTCAGCCTTAAATTCGATGACAATTGTCCTTAGAAGAGACACACAGAGGAGAAAGGCATGTGAAGACAGAGGCAAACATTGGAGTTATGTAGCCACAAGTCAAGAAATGCCCAGAGCCACCAGAAGCTGGAAGAAGTGAAGAATTCTCCCTAGAGCCTTTGGAGGGAGCACAGCCCCACCAACACCTGAGTTGCAGACTTCTAGCCTCCAGAACTATTAGAGAATAAATTCCTGTTGTTTTAAGCCACCAAATCCATGGTAATTTGATACAGCAGCTCTAAAAAGCAAATACAGATATCTTTCATGAAGACACTAGAATTTTATAATGTGGAACTCTTCAAGGAATAGAAATAGCATTTTGAGCATCAGTGTGGCCGGCAATAGCTAGATGCTTAACTTAAATTATCCCTATTTTAATGATGAAGAAACTGAGGTCCAAGGTCACATGATGATGGTGTGGGGAGTTGGGTGAGAATCCTGCTGAGGGGCAGCGTGGTACAGCAGTTCCAGGCTTGGGCTCTGGGTCCTGTCTGGGTCTGTCCTTACTCATTCTGTGACCCTGGCTAAGTTACTTAACCATTCTGACCCTCAATTTCTCAAACTAGAAAATAGAAATAACAGAACTTCATACAATTGAGAAGATTAAAAACTATAAAATAGTTAGGATAGTATGTAGGAAGGGCTAAATGAATGTTAGCTATTATAATTACTACCACATTACACTAATATACTATTGATAGATTGTGAGCACCTGACAAAGAGTGAAAGAGAATGGGATCATTTTAAGGTAGAACATGTGACCTTTATCAGTTACTAACTTAGAAACCAGTTTTAGAGAGATTATTCTTCAGAATGTTTATTCAATTCTGATGTGGCTGTCATGAAAGAGACAAAAAGACCTCAGCAATCTTGACAGTAACACTCTTTGCTGAGTACCTTACACATGTGAAGAACTGTACCGCAGGGCATGCTGGCTCACACCTGTAATCTTAGCACTCTAGGAAGCCAAAGTGGGAGGATCATTTGAGCCCAGGTGTTTGAGGCTGCAGTGAGGTATAATGATGCCACTGCACTCCAGACTGAGCAACAGAGTAAGACCCTGTTGCAAAAAAAAAAAAAAAGAAAAAAAGAAAGAAAGAAAAGAAAAAAACCCAACTATATTAAGCCCCTTAAATATATTACCTCATTTCAAAGATGAGGAAACTGAGGCTAAGTTTTATACCTTGCAGATTTTCAGAAGCCCAGGAGGAATCAACACTTGGATTATATCCCGGGATCCTATCATTCCAATGTGTTCTTCCCATCACACCATACTGCTTATTTCCTAAACAGCATTTTACAAATGTTAGGCTTCCAACAAGTATTTTTTGAATTAGTGAAATAAAGCCTCATTATCAATGATTTTAAGGAAATATTGAGCTTATCAAAATATTTTGAAATGAAGAAACTGTTGCCAACCATTTTGCAGCCATAAATCTCCTAAAACGTTGTGGCAAAAAGAGAAGGATTAGGAAACAACCATTCATAAGGTAAATCTACTTCTTTTTGTCCACACTCCCCCTCCTTTTTTCCATTGGCTGTTAGGTCAATCTAACTGTAGATTGAACAAGAGGGAGCAGGCAGCTAGTATCCAGGGCTTTTTTTTTTTTTTTCCCATTGTATTTCCCTTACTTTCTTTCTTAAAAATAAAAGAACCAGAAAGAAAATGATTAGCCTGTTTTAATGAACTATAGAAATGATCCCTGAAAGCATAGTCTTAAATATCCTGTTTTGAATACTGATCATCCTCACTTTCATTGTTAACACTTTTAGAAAACAATGTTCTTATTTTACCATATTTTATTTTAATTTGTCCAGCCTAGTTAATGAAATGCTTGTTAAAACATATATTCTTCTCTTGTACCAAAGGTCTTCCAGGATAAGATGCTGCTCCATTTAAATAAAAGATGAAGGATGTTGAAACAAAAGCAGTCTTTAACCAGCAGACCCATAAATAAGATAGTAGCTGGGGCGATGCAAGTCTAACGTTGGCACTTGTACTGGGATTGGCTTCTTCCAGGCCAGTGGTTCTTAACCTGGAGGTCAAGGATTCGGAGGAGGGTGGTAGCTACAAACCCCTTGCAATGTAGGCACATTTTGCATAAACATTTTTCTGCATAAACATTTTTCTGCATACATTTCAAAGGAGGCTGTAATGTGTGTAAGCTAAGACCACTTTTTTAAGGCCTAATTACTAAAGCTAATTGCCATATTTTGCTTCTTAGTATCATCTTAAGTAGTCAATATAATATCCAGTATACAATAAATGTTTGGCATTGGCTTAAAAGAGAACTAGACAACTTATTAAAGATGTCGTCTTTCAATCAAAGGGTTCAGATTTCTAAACGCAAGCCTCAGGATATTATGAGAAGAATTTACCTGCCCAGGAGGGTCCAGATCTGGGTCCTAGACCTTGTGCCTTCACAAAATGTTCCTGTGTAGGTTACTTCTCCTCTCTCAGTTGCTGTTTCTTCATCTATGAAATAAAGATTTGAATTCAATAAACCCAAAGATGTCTTCAAACTTTAAAACAATTCTGTCCCATGTAAAACGGTCATTAAACCACTTAGACTGATTATCTCCCACAAAAGTCTAGAATATATTATCAAAACAAGGCATGACAACGTAGCCTTATTTTAAAAATTATTTTTAGAAAAGGTCATGGTTTGAGGACACACCACTGTCCTCACTGCTAGTGATTCCCAGCTGTACTCTGAGGACTACATGCTGCTGCAGGTGCCAGGCTTGGGGGAGGGAGGCCCACGTGGGACAAAGAGAGGGGCTGAGAACCCCCACCCTGCTTCTTTTGGAGCAGCTTGCTTGGATCTGCTTTCCACCTTGGGTTTATGGGTGAGATTTTGTTTGTGGAAAATGTTTCTCAACTTTAATTAGTCTCTGTTAATATCTATGGGGTGGGGGGAAGGAAAAGGATATTAGATTAGTCACTATGTTTAAAAATATGTCTTTAAAAACACTTCGAATACACTCAGAAGCCCCAAGGCTTGTTCCTATTTTGTCATTTATTAGTTCTGTCAAGTCAGGCAAGGCCTATGTTCTTTTTCTTCACATATAGAACAATGGCAGTGTCTTATGCATAGGGTAGTTGTGGGAATTAAATACAATTATATTTGTGAAAGTGTTTTGTATTATAATTAATAAATCATCATAAAGACGGCTAGTGGGTCTTCAGTAATGAGCCCCAGGGCTTTGCATTTTGCCCTGACCATTGGAGCATGTTTGTTCATATGAATTAAGTTATGGAAAATATGGATGGTTAAATTGGCAGATGACCCCAGTTTATGGGGTGGAGGTATAAGGGGCTTAGTAGATTGCAGAGCTGAAAGAATGTCTGAAGGTAAAACTTAGGGGCAGGCCGGGCACGGTGGCTCACATCTGTAATCCTAGCATCGAGGTCAGGAGTTCGAAACCAGCCTGAGCAAGAGCGAGACCCCGTCTCTACTATAAATAGAAAGAAATTAATTGGCCAACTAATATATATATATAAAAATTAGCCAGGCATGGTGGCACATGCCTGTAGTCCCAGCTACTCGGGAGGCTGTGGCAGAAGGATTACTTGAGCCCAGGAGTTTGAGGTTGCTGTGAGCTAGGCTGACGCCATGGCACTCACTATAGCCTGGGCAACAAGCAAGACTCTATCTCAAAAAAAAAAAAAAAAACTTAGGGGGAAATAAAAGGGTCATGTTCTTCCATTAAAAAAATCAATTGCTCAAGGGTAAGATGGGTGAAATTTGGCTTATGAGCAGTTCAAGTAAAAAAGACTAAGGTGGCCGGGTGTGGTGGCTCACGCCAGTAATTCCAGCACCTTGGAAGGCCAAGGTAGGATCGTTTGAGGGTTCGAGTTTGAGACTGGCCTGAGCAAGAGTGAGACTCATTTCTACAAAAATTAGAAAAATTAGCCCGGCGTGGTGGTGTGTGCCTGCCTGTTGTCCCAGCTACTTGGGAGGCTGAGGCAGGAGAATCGCTTGAGCCCAGGAGTTTGAGGTTGCTGTGAGCTAGGCTGATGCCACTACACTAGTCCAAGAGACAGAGCAAGACCCTGTCTCAACAACAACAACAACAACAGCAACAACATAAGAAATTTTCCCTTATAAAGTCCATTATGCACCAACAGAGTCATAATATGGTTGACAAATAAATAAATGATCCAATATTCTCTTATATTCATAGAAGTATTGTATCACAGATGAGCTAAAGGAGCTATGGCTCTTGGCTTTGGATTAGTATCCTTCTAGCTGTTAAAAATGGTTACTTCAGCCAGCTGAGCACATCCATAGAAAGCTAGATGGGGAAGGTTTATAAGGCTTCCTATGGGAAACACTGACAGAAGATTTTGGGAGAAGAATGTGCCATGAAGGTCTTAAAAGATCTAAAATGTCTTAAATGATGTTATAGACGGTCATGGAGGAAAAGGTTTGGAACTATTTTATTGCTTTCAGAGGTGGATCTTAGGAAAAACTTTAAACAATAAAAGGTGTCTTAAGAGGAATGGGTTGCTAGTGAAAGCCCCATTAGGAAAATTATTCAAGCAGAGACTATACAACCCCTTCTGAGGGTTGCTATGAATAAGAAAGCAGGTCTTAAGAAGAGATCACTAAAATTTCACCAATTCTAAGATAATATTTCCACAGTAGAATTAAATATCCCATCGGAGAATTATTTGCTTTGTTAAAAACTTTCCTTGCCATAGTTAAAATGTGTGGACTTTGAAATTGGCAAACTGGAGCTTGCTATTGTGTGATATTCAGAATGTTGTTTAACCTCTGAACATCACTATGTCATCAGTAACACAGAGCTTATTTATTATTTCTGCATTGTTATGGAGGTTAAACAACATAGCATTGGTAAAGGGTCCATAGTGGTACCTGGTCTTAGTAATGGTTACAAAAAAAATTAACTTTTATCACAATTATTATTTGTTTCTCCTATTTTTACATGCTTTCTATTTCATCTTATCTAAGAGATTTCTTCCAGGTGACTCTATGGAACCCTTCAGAGACATATGATATAAGTGGGTGAAAGTTTGACATCCATGAGGCTGGGAGAAAGAATTCACCTGGACGAAAGTTAGTAGGTTACAGTGGAACCGTAGCATCTATTTTGTGTATGCATTGATGCTTGTCTCCTCCTAAATAGAGGAAACCTGTGGAACAACTTTTCCTTTTGTTCTAAATTATAAGCTGACTTTCCTGCCCATCAAAACCAGAACTAGGCCAACCCGATTGGTTTTTTTTTCTTTGTTTAAAGTTTTGGGCAATAAAATGCATTGTTAAAATTTTAAGACCCAAGTTCTCTGTTCTGGAGCAGACATAATATTTGTAGCCTTGAGGAGTAAGGAGGGATGCTTGGTAATTGGAATATTGGGCTCAGTTATATATTCCTTCTATGCCTAATTTTTCTACCAACGAAGGGACCATAAGTCAATTTTACTTAAAAATTACTCTTCAGATGAGTTAATAAGGGAGAAACTGTGTACTATTCTTAGAAGATAAAACACATGAGATTGTATTGTCTCAAGCATACTGCCAAATATTAAGTGGGACTCTTCCAACTTAACTGCACAGAACTAAGTAACAGAGCAAATGTACTTCCCCCACCCATAGCTTGTTATCTTGTAAAGAGTTGCCTTGTTTACAGTTACAGATAACTAGATTAATAGCCTGCATGACCAGACTGTGAAAAAACTTATTTAAAGCATTATAAAAGAAACTAGGGCTATTTAACATGTATTATTCACAAAGGCCATGAAAATTGAGTAAGCACTTCCCATAGCATCTAAATTAGTGAGTAGTACTGATATTATGTTTGATTATAAATGTAGAGCTTGGGCTATATTTATAAGAAGTTGTTGAATTTTTCTATTGTAGCTTTGCACAATAGGATACTAATAGTAATATTCATCAATATATACCTCTCAGCATTATTTACAAATATATATACATATATGCATTAATATATATACTCATAACAATATATGTATCTATATTTTAAATTTAAAAGTAACAGAATTAATTTATTTTATAACTTTTAAATAGAGAGTCAATTATGTTTCTTAGAGTTTATGGTTGCTAAATACTAGATCAGAAGGCTTTTTACTTATTTATTTCGAAATTTTATTTTCATTATGTTGGTAAGCAATATATTTAACTCAAAAGCTGTCTATGGGGGATGTAAGTGTGAGAATAGAGGTATTTTTCCCACAGAAATGTTGTTTTGGATATGCCATTTTGAACTTTTTTACTTCTTTCTTTTTCTAGTCCTTTTAATTTTCTTGTTCAATGTGCTACTCATATTTATTCGCAATTTCTCTTTTTAATCTTTTCACTGATCTTGAACTCAAAGTGGTAACTTTAGCTTGGAGTTACTAATTGACATTCTTTAATCTTATAATGAAGCCAAAAAAGCAGGAATACAATACTGAATAGCAAATTGTCACCTACAAGCTGCCATTCTATACTGATGATAATAGTGGATATTTATTGAGTGATTTGTTTCAGAACTTCTCTAAGCACTTTATGTGCATTACCTTATGCAATTAACTTAACAACACTATAATGGAGGCACTATTTCTATACCCATTTTACAAATGAGGAGACTGGGACATTGGAAAATTTAAAAACTGGCCCGACATCACACAGCGAATGCAGAGCACACACTCTTAATCACTCTCCCAGGCTGCCATTCTATGCAAAGATTTCTGATCATAACTCAAATCATCCCATTTATCCATCCTTCCAGCCAGCCAGCCACTCAATCAAGTATTTAGCAAGCATGTAGGAGGGATATAAACTGTCAGTAAGATAGACGTGGTCACAGTTCTCAGCCCACTTTCTAGAGAGGAGGAGGGATAATTAAGCAAGCATCCACACACACTGGTCAGTGCTATGACATGGGAGTGCAGAGTACTCGGGGATGGAGGAGGCTGTAACCCCGTCTAGAGGTGGTCTCAGGATGGCAGGTCAGAAAGTTGTTGGCCTTATTCCTGTGTTCTTCAGCTACTTTGCAGCAAGAGGTATATTATGTAACTTCTAGAAAGAAAGGTCTTTGAAGTAAGGTGCTCCTTTGTCTTGTTTCCCCAGTGCCTGGCACATAGTGGCTGCTCCATTAAAATGTGTTGAATAAATGAATGAAAATCCTAATGCTCCATAATAACTCCATTATAACAGGGGTGTTTTTTGATTATTTCTATCTGTACTCTGAACATTCTTTAACACTTCTCCTCTAAGCCTGAAATACATGTTCCCTTTCAACTTGCAGAATCAAGTCCCTGCTGCCTTTTAAGTTATAATCTAAAAGCTCTAGTCCAAGAAAGCTGCCACATTCATTAAATTTTACTAGAAAAAGGCCTCTCTAGGTCTCTTTTAAACCAGGTGCCCTGAGTAGAGATTCTGGGACAATCTGATAAAGTGGTGGAGACTCTTCGATTGCTTTTTCCCTGTATTTTTCCAGTGGGATTTGATGCTCTGCTCACTCTCTGTAGTTGTGAAAGATTTGTTCTTCTTTCACTTATCTGGGATGGCTTAGAAATTTCCTTCCCTCGACTTCTCCCCCAACTTTTCACTCTTCAAAATATGTTAACTTTGGGGAACCTGTTCTTAATTATTTACCACACAATCCCCTGGAAGACTACAATAATCCAGGGAAACACTAGAGGAAAATGCCAAAAGTAAACTGAAAGCCTAGGTGAATGACTTCTGTGAGCAATAATTTTTGTTATTATAAAGCAATGTTTTCTTTAGGTTGTTATTCTTTAGAGTGGGTGTTGGGTTATGTCTTCTTCATGCCTACTTGGAATGTTTAGGGGCTAATACAGTATTTTTCCTGGTGAAACAACAGCAAATCCAGGCAGTACAATAATACTGGTGGGAAGTTAATGTGAAGAGGAAAGAAACCAAAGCTCCCAAGAGGAGGAGAGAAGTGGAGCTTGACATAATCCTTATGGCCTGTCCCAGAATCGCAGTGGCCAGGTCTGTACGTGATAGTTACATCATCTACTTGCATGATCTTACTTCCTACCCTCACCTCACAGTTTAAAAATGTACCTCATCCTTTTCCCTGTTTTATTTTTCTTCAGCACCCTTACCTTCTTCTATACACTATATAATTCACTTATTATTATTATTAATGTCTGATATACCAGGAGTTTTTGTCTGTTTTGTTTATTATTCATCCAGGGCCTAGAAGTGTCAGAAGTACCCTGATACAGAGTAGACGTGCAATAAATATCTGTTGAATAAATGAGTTATTAATCCTGACAAAAGCAATATTAAAAAATAGTAACTATGATCAAGGTTTTCCTACATGAATTATATATATAGATAAATGGACAGACATTAAAAATTATTTTATAGAAATCTTCTAATTGGTCAAAATGTGACAGCAGGAACTTTACAAAAGCTTTGATGGTCAAAACCCACATGGAGTCCACTTCAGTCAGCATGGTATGCTCTTTAAAAACATATCTATGGGAGGATAAAAGATAAGCCTGTGCTGGTGAGCATGGAAATTCCTTGAGGTTTCCTGATGCAGGTAGCCGTGAACCCCTTGAGCTAAGGGTATGGTTTGGTTCATTATACAGAACCATCTGGCAACAAGGTCAAATGCTGCTTACCATACCTGTGAAACTCTGAGACTCACTAATTTTATGTTCCCATGTCTGGACAAAGCACTATTATCCAATTCCATGGTTCTGAGTACAGGATCAGGAGGCTCGTGGGAACTCAAAGCATAAAAGATGAATAGAGGAATGTATTGATTATTTGGGGGTGTCTTCTGCATTTGAGGTTGTCATAATCACAATAGATGTATTCCAACCAGGACACATCAACGTGCAGGGAGGACCTCAGTGGCTGTTCTGTCTCTTGCTTTCCCTAAAAGCCAAGGCTATGGCTTTTAGGGCCAACCTAGTGTTAGCTAAATTGGGCCAATCTGAGCAGATGACAAAGATGCTTTTGGCTGAGATTCAGGTACCTCCCTCTCTCGCCCAGTGTAGGTTATAACAACTGACCTGAAGAACTGATAAAGAAGTAGACTTATATAGAAGAAGAAAGAACAACTGGCTTTGTAGGTCCTAGGATTACTATACTGAGTGGATAGAGCCAAAAAGATATGGTATTGCAAGAAAATTCTCTATAGGACTATACTAATGACATTTGGCTTATTTCCAAATGGACAAACTTGGACAGGTGTGTAAACATATGTGAATCACATAGCTGTATGATACTTGTGCCACTCCTAATTATTTCATATATTTCAATGTGGCCCTTGGGAAAAAATCTTATGTAAACTATTGGTCTAGTCACATGGTACATAGGGATTTATGAACTCCAAGTTCTAAACCTATTTGTTCTTTTAGTATCTTGGATAATCTTAAAAACCAGCTTTATTGAGATATAATTCACGATACACTTCATCTACTTGAAGTGTACAATTCAGTGGTTCTTAGTACATTCATACTTATGCAATCATTATTATTGTCAATTTTAGAACATTTGCATCACCCCAAAAATATACTGTGTACCCTTTATCAGTCACTCCCTATTTCTCTCCAACCTCACCTTTTACTTAAGCCCTAGACAACAACTATTCTACTTTCTGTATATATAGATTTGCCTATTGTGGATATGTTATGTAAATGGAATCATATAATATGTGGTCTTCTTTCACTTAGCATAATCTGTTTGATGTTCATCTACGTTGTAGCATGCATCAACTACATCCTTTTTATTGCTGGATATTTCATGTTCTATTCCCCACCACATTTGATTTATCCATTCATCATTCAATGGGCACTTGAGTTGTTTCCACTTTTGGGCTATTATGAGTAATACTGCTATGAACATTTGTGTACAAGTTGTTGCACGAACATAACTTTCCAATTCTCTTGAATATATACGCCCAGGGGTGAAATTGCTCTGTTATTTGGCAACTCTATGTTAACTTTTGAGGAACTACCAAACTCTTCCACAGCAACTATACCATTTTACATTCCCACTAGCAATATATGATGGTTCCAATTTCTCTATGCATTCTCCAATATTTGCTGTTATTTGTTTTTACAGTTGTAGCCATTCTAGTTGGTGTGAAGTGGGTATCTTATTGTATAGTTTTGATTTTCATTTCCCTAATGTTATTAAGCACCTTTTCATGTGTGAATTGGCATTTGTACACCCTCTTTGGAGAAATGTCTATCTCTGCCCATTTTAAAATGAGTTATTCCTGGCCGGGCGCTGTGGCTCACGCCTGTAATCCTAGCTCTCTGGGAGGCCGAGGCGGGTGGATCGTTGGAGCTCAGAAGTTCAAGACCAGCCTGAGCAAGAGCTGAGACCCCGTCTCTACTAAAAAAAAAAAAAAAAAAAAAAAAAAAACGTTAATTGGCCAACTGAAAATGGAAAAAAAAAATAAAGGAATAAAATGAGTTATTTGAATTTTTGTTGTTGAGTTCTTCATCTTTTGCCTTAAGTGTAAGGGTTATGGTTAGAAGATGAGAACCTCATATCTCTCAGTTGCTCTTGCCTGAAACAGAACTTCTGCAACACAAAGCTGGGGAAGATGAGAAATGCTGGTGGCCTACTTCTCCCAAGGATGCACTGTAGCCCTAGACTGGGATCTAGGTTGAAAGGGAACTTTGTGTTGTTGGCTACATCCACCCAGGGTAGAGCACCGTCTAGCCAGAGTGAAGCACCATCACACCCAGTTGGAGGTGGCAGGGAAATGTGTTGTGGCTCAAATGCCACAAACTCTTGCAGTTCTCACTGACATATAGTAGATTGTGTTGAATACATATTTTATTCATTTGCTATATTTCTTCAGGACAATTTCTAGGGACTTTAAATGATTATTTACCTATAATTTTTACCAATTATTGTTGTTTTGTAAGGAATGGGTGGGTTCACAAAGCTCTTCAAACCACCATTCTGGAAGTTGAGTCCCATATGGATAATTTTTAATGAATATTTTGTTTCTTGTAGACTTGGCAATAAAAAAGCTTATGCTGATATATTAGATATAAAATTGGCTATAGAATTATGAAGGACAATTTTTGTCAAAGTTTTTGCAAATTTACAAACACAATTAAGAAAACCAATAGGGGTTGAGGTTTACTTTGGTTTACTTTCACCTTCGCATTCAGTCAAATTCTCTGTAATGTCCATGGATTTGTTTCGACAAACCATTCTTAATTTATTTTCATTAAATAGTTGTACAGAAATATTTGAATAATGAGGGTGACAGTACATTTCATACAAGAGTTTATTGTTGTTGGTCTAGTAATTATAAAGCCATCATAGCCATTGAAACAATGATTAAAATGATGTTTTTAAAAGCATAGGAATAATTAAGATGTCAAAATTAAGTTATTAAAATCTTAACAATTTTATGCATAAATTTTAGAAGTTCACTAGCAAAAGTGACCATGTATTTCTCTATTTTTGTTTAGTTCAGAATAACTTCTGCACCACAAAGTCTTAGAAAAAACAATTTTCTCAGCTTCCCTAAATGCATTTAGTTGGACTTTGGTGTCTAAGATTTAATGTAACAATTCTTCAAATTATTTATTTGATCATCAGCTGGGCTCATACATGAATTACCAACCAGTTGAATGTCACTTTAGTTGAAACAAATGTAGAATTTCACTTCCTATTTAAACCCATGGCAAAGTTCACTATACATTTCTCTTTGGGTGTAGAAGGTTTATTACTTATAAATGATTACCTGAGCATCTTTGAGAAAATGCATATGCTTAATAATCAGGAGAAAATGTTAAAATTTATTAGTTGTTCGAAATTCTTCACTTTTTTGGCAATTGACTTGTGTGTGTATGCTTGCCTAAAGTAGCTTGTGGGGAAAAAGTATCGTGTAAGACCATGACACTAAACAAAGATGACTATTTAAGAAGGAAACCAAGCACTTCTCAATGGTATTTCCCTGAATAGTCATTAATGAACCACACAAAGATAAATAGTGAAAATAATTAGCAAAGTAATTTTCTATTCTTTTGGCTTGGAAAGTTTCAGTGCTAAAGTTTGGCTTCTGATGAGTGAAACGTCTTACTTTCCAACATAGTAAAAGGTAATTACAAATTAAAATTGTAATGCAGCTAAATGACAAACTGCATTAGAGGTCAGTATTCATTTTTTCCCCTATAAAACAGGAATTCTATACTACCAAAGCTACTTTACCGTTCAAGTAGATGTTTTGGAAGATGCTTACCTCCTAGTTGGGTATCTCTCCCTGTGGCTTAGGTGAGCGCCAGCGCTTTGGCTCCTCCCCGGCTGCCACCAGCTTCCCACTGCGCCGGGCACCGCTGAGCCTCCCGGAGTTGGGTGTTCGGCCCCGCCCTCTGGACTATTGCTAAAACTACAGTTCTGGCAGACTGATTCCGGTGATTAATTATTGACAAAAGGAAAACACTCCTACGCAAACTTGTGTCCAACCGCACTGCTCCGAGCGACTCCTTCCAGAAGAGAAGGCCGGCTGCACCACTCCCCTCCCCCCTTGCTCTATGATCCCAACTTCTCATACGCTGCCACTCTCAGTCCTGGGCGATTAGGCTAGTCCTCGGAGGAACGCAGCTCAGAGACTTCCACATCCTAAAATTTGGTTTCCTGCAGCTCCTTCGCACTTCTCCGGGGACCAGCCTCTCAGGAGGGGGCGCTTTCGGGATGCAGGGGAAGCCTGGGCTCCGAGCAACAGAGGCGGCTAAGGCGTCGCTGTCACCTCCGGCTGCTGCAGTAAAACCCCGAGCCGAGGCGGGGATGGGGAGGAGGGGATAGGGAGGCGCCCTCCCCTGCGCTCCGGCTGGGATCCCCGGCACTACTAAAGGGGCACGTCTTTGGGTGGTGGTGGAGGGGTGGCCCTGTAAACAGGAGGTGTAAAGGTGGAAGCTCGGGAGCGTTAGCCTGAGCCGCTGCTAAGCCGCCCAGGGAAAGCCTGCACCCAGCATCCACGGTCTGCAGACTCCAGCGAGGGGGCGACGGAGCCGGGCGCAAGCGGAGCAGGACTGCGTCTGAAACTCCGCATCAGGCTGCGAAGCGAGCCCGGGGCTCCGCGGGCCGGGGCGGCCAGGAGTTGGCCGAGCAGGCATCTCACTGCTTTTGTTCCTCAAAAACCTAGGAGAGCAAACCCTTTTCAGCATTGGCAGCTGATTTTGGTGCCTTTGGATGTGCAAAATCCTTCTCCCCGCACCACTCCCTCCATCCTGCCACCTTGCCCCGGTGGCTGGAGGTTAATCGTTAAAAAGCTGGACTCCCCCAGGGGAAACAGATGAAAGGATCGTGCCTGGAGAACTTATGTGTGCCCACTCACAAGTGCAGAGAATTAATATGGGCCCCGACTGCGGCAGGAGGGTAAATTGGGGAAAGACGACTGGGAGGCGGCCAGGTGGTGCAGGGACGCGCGGCGACGGTCCCGCGGCTCCTGGGGCGGGCGTGCCCTGCGCTTTCGCTCGGCGCTCAATTCTCCTCCCCAGGAGGCGCGGGACCCCGGAGAGCATCTTCCCTGGAAACCCGCACCCATAACACCAGCGATCTCCTCTCTACCTAGGGCAGTGCTTGATTTGGCGCCGCGGCTGCTTGCGGAGAGCGCAGAGGACCTTGAAGGCTCTCCGCTTTCTATCTCCGTGGCCAAGACTCTTTCAGCCCAGGCCCAGGGGAGTCGGGGGCGAAAGCCTCTTGATTAACGAGCATTTGGGCAGCATCTGCCAGTCAGACCCCAGTGCCAAAGGAGGAGGCACTGCACACGCTCGACCTGGGCTGATTGTGCTGAAGCGCGAGTTTTAGCTGCTGGCAGGTCTCTGCTTGTTCTCACAACACCCTTTCTGCAGGTTCCAAGCTGCCAATCTACACAGAGCGAGATTCACGTTATTGGGCGGTGGTGTCTCCAGGCAGGAGGGTGGGTGTCCCCAAACCGAGCCGAAGGTGGTTGGGGGCAGGAAAGGAAACCAATAGAAACTGAGTACCTGCTTGGAGCCTGTGTTAGCCATTTTCCGTAGTTATCTTTTCCTTCTACTCCTGTGTCTAAATATTAGCAACCACTGCCAGTATTTTTTATTTCTTTATCAGTTTATGTTGGTCACACTCCTTATCTCTTGACTTCTCCTGACACACCTTGCCGTGTTGGCAGGGCAGATATGACCACCCAGAGCATGTAGATGAGGAAATAGAAACCCATAGAATCAACTTGGCCCGATCACCAACCCAATTGTGGAAACGCCAATACTATTTATATTATTTTCTGGATCTTATTATCCATCATTCAGCTTCCCTACTGAATCATGACACATGACACCCACGCACACACTGTGATTGCACATTTGTGGAAATACAGGAACAGACCTTCCTCCCAAAGGTTTGTGGAATGGATATGAGAGCTTGCAACTCTTTCAACTGAAGGTTGGGAGATAAGTGATACAGCTGGCAGAAGCATTCAGATCATTAAAAAGATCTTAAATGACATATAGGTAATATAACTGCACAGGCACACCTTTATGTATATCTTTGCTGCCCCAAATGGGGACTAAATGTTCTATGTTTTCCATACAAACACAGAACATTCTCAAAACTTAACTGGGTCACAAAATATAGGTCAACACAGTTGAAAAGGCAGAAATCATACAGACCACATCACCTATCAAAATACAATAAGAATAAAATTAACAACAAAAATCTCCCCTGACTGATAATAAATTAGAAATTTAAAGATGCTTCAGATCAGAATTAAAAAGAAGCACAAATGAGAAAACTACAAACTCTTTAGTAACCAAAGTAAATTAAAAGCCATATGTAACAAAATTAGGAGAGTATGGAAAAGCCAAACAACCTGTAACAGCATATATTAAATGTTATTTATTGCAAAACAACAAACCAAGAGACTTAGAAAAAATTGCAGAAGAATTACATTGACTAATAAAGATAACAGCAGAAATGAATGAAGTAGAAAAGTAAAACAAAACCAAACCAAACCAGGAGAATTGATCAATAAAAGGAAAAAAAAAACCGTATATTCTCTGGAAAGATCAAGAAACTAATCACAAAAAGATTAAGAAATGGAGAAGACACAAATAACATTAGGGAAGAAAGATAGTATATAACCACAAAGAAGGAGGATTTAAAAAAAAAACCCAAGTACCTCAATTAATGTTTTTTGCCCATGAAGAGGATTTTCCTTTGTACTGATTACCACAACTTGTGAGGTGACAATTGGTTAACGCCACAGCTTATGCAGAGGGGAATGAGATTTGAAGAACCAGGTAAAATTGTTTAGAATATAATAGTATAACAATACAAAGCAATGATAATTTTACCAACTGAACATTTTGATCTAGGCCTTTCACCATCATTATCATAAAGTGGCTGTTGCACAACTAAAGAACATATATTACTGGAGTAGAAAACTTTTAAAAGTAGTAATCGCCAGGGAGTATATTCCCTCAGGTTACCTGGGATGTTTGGGGACAGATATTCTAGGGAAAGGAATGGGACTACTTTGTAAAGCTGTGTTTATGGCCTAGAAATGTTGTTTGGAATGTCTCTGGAGTCTAGAATACCAGGAAGGAAAAAGGAGCTGAAATGAAAATCCACTTAAAATGATCCACGGTCAGGTACCCAATCTTGCATGCATCTACTTAGGATGATTTTACTCCTGGGAGGATCAAAATTCAAGCATGAAATATGAGTTTCGTAAGCCTCCAAACCTGACCATGGTGGCATGGTGGAAAAAGAATGGACTTTGAAGCAACACAGCTCCGAGTTCAAGTCCCAGCTCTTTCTACTAGCCAATTCTATAGTCTGAGACAAATTAACTATTATCTCTATACTTAGTTTTCTCAATTATGAAGCCAAAATAATATTCACTTTATAGGATTCTTTTGAAGATTAAACGAAATACCATTTACAACGTATTTACCATATAGCTCCCTGCCTGCTTCCCCACCCCATTCCGCCTTCTCTAAATACTTACTACCTTTCAGGAATTTCTCAACTGTCCATTCACATTTCTTCTATTTTGTCAGTGGAATTCTATCTTCCTTCCCTTCCTTCCAGTGACCCAGCCACCTACCCCATGATTCTTAAGCAATCAGAAAAATCCAAGCATCATTACCAAATACCCTTGGGATGGTTTGGAAAGACCTCCTTAAATCTAAAAGAAACTCAGCCTCTCTTATGTAAGGTGGTAAATTTGGAAAAATCAGGCCTGCCTGTTCCTTCTTTCCTTCGTTCTTTCCTTCCTTCCTTCCTTCCTTCCTGCCTGCCTTTTTTACTGAATACATTTTTTTTGAATTCCTATGAAGTTATGTGTGAATGACATTGCTCTCACTCACCAATTCCAATTTAACAGAGTTGTATATGCCTAGGCTGAAGTCTTTCATTGGGAAAAGACCCTGACCCTCAAGCATTCTAGAATTTAATATTAGAATAAAGATGATATTAATAATAATCATTAATGAGAATCAGCAGTTTGCTCTAAAAATTGGAAAAGCAGCATGCATTAGGGGATGTATGTGGATGTCCCCACTGATCATTAACAAACAGAAGAGATTTAACATAATAGGCACAATTTTTGCCCTTAAAAGTTTACCCCCTTTTACTACTTGCTACTCCAGGAGTAGCAATAAGACCAATTTAACAAAAGATTTTCTGCAGCATCTATTCTAAAACAGGCTCTAACACTATTCTTACATACAATGTCCATTTTGGTGTAGCTCTATCTTTTGGGCAAGACAAAGAAGACAATGGAAAGTCAACAGGGTCAAGAGAAAAGAATGTTATTGGGTGGGCAGGGGGGAGGGGGGAGGAGAGGATGGGTATATACAAACATAATGAGTGAGATGTGCAACCTTTGGGGGATGGTCACGCTTGAAGCTTGGACTCGAGGGGGGAGGGGGGCATGGGCAATATATGTAACCTTAACATTTATACCCCCATAATATGCTGAAATAAAAATAAATAAATAAAAAACAAAAAAATAAAAATAAAATGTGAAAAAAAAAAGAAAAGAATGAGGCTCCCCTGAACCGTATCAGCAACATGAGCCCTTACTTATCAACTCTTATCTTCTTTTATTGATCTTATTATCAGGAGGTGAGGGGGAGAAAGAAAACTAGTAATACATGTGGATATTTAAAAGCAAGACCAGAAATTTCAGGCAAATTTTATTTACTTCTTTCTGGTTTGCTTTCCAAATGTGCAGATTAACCCTTCCTTGTTTATTCTAAACCTTGTTGTATTAGCACTACTTATTTTCATGATAGCATGAAGACTACAACTCTCCCAGAGTATAACTCTTCATAACACTCAGTAGAATTCTAAAGGTATTTGAAGGGATTGTCATATGTTAAGGATGTTTACATGTTCTAATCTCCACTGAGTCACTTGTTAACTTTGTTAAGTTTTTGTTGTATGGTAATTAGATTGAATCGCTTCTAACTTTCTGTAATTCCCCTATGTGACCATACCCACTTAAATTCTTTGTACTGTAGGTAGTTGTGCTCACATCTCTGCTGGGAAATCTAAAATCACCTCCAGCACACGTATGAGGTAGTATACAAAATTACCAAATAAATATGACACAACTTGTTGGAGTCTCAATCTTGCAAAGTGATTTGGAGGTCAAAACCCAAATTATTTTATATTCGAATGATGTAAAACATTGTTTATATTGAACAATGATAGTTATATTATGGAATGTTGATTTAATTTATTCTAGATAACATTATTTATGCACCTCCTGTGCACCAGGTATATTATAGGTACTTTGGTAGAGTATAAAAATTATCATAATTTTTATGATTAAAATTAGAATACAACAACTTTTTTCCTCAGGTAACAGAAATTTTCTTTCTGTAAGAAGATTTGAGGAAACTGAGGGACAATGGCTTGCAGGAGTGTTATGGAGCAGCTGTCCGATTCCTGCTCAGGGAGAGCACTCTAGAAAAAGCAGAGTCAACTA